TAACTAATATTTATAGTTTTTATTTTTATTTTTTATAAATAATATATATAGATATAAGGCCAATATAAATATTAATCTTAATAAATAATTCTTGATATTCAATAATAAGTAAAAATACTAAATCAAATAAGATAATTACTTTCAAGACTTGTTAAGACTCTATTTTTACAACTAATAATTTAATTTTCTATTTGTTTAAGGATTTTTATACTATTCACCATATATTATGATTTTAAATATTCTAAATATATTTTTTTATCTTTAAATAATTAGTGAGTTGATTTGATGAATTACAACATGTTTTTTTGAATGAGGTCTTTTTCCAAGAATTCATCAAATATCTTTCACAGCTCCTCAAGTTCATTTGGTACTAGGCAATAGATTGGCCGACTTTTCAGTTTGATCCTAGGTATTAGTTCTATTTGAAAGGGGGCACCTTGATTAGGTAGCAAGCCATTAAGTTTGTTGGAAAGATATTCCAATATTTATATATAAATTACTTTGTCCATTGTCATATGGCATGATTTACAATCTGAAAATATACATGATATTTAAATGTAAAGAGTTTAATTTTAACTTATTGGCTAAGCTTTAATAAGTGATTCATTCTACCTTTAACTTATATACAATGTCTTGGCTGTCAAAACCTCTTCACTTCATATAAAATATCCAAATTGTAGCAAAACCCTTCAAAACATATTTTTCTCGCAAAAAAATTCTTCTCTCCAAACTTTAGAAATTCATATCTCTTGATTCAACTATTTAATTTCTCTAAAATTTTTAGATAGTGTAGCAATTATTCTTAAGCTTTACCACAAAAAAATTATAAATTCACTACCAATCTTTTGGCATCTTAGAAATCCTAGCAGGTGTATTAAATCCTAATTAATAAGCATCTGAACACTATTTTTTCCATATCTCCAAAATCTAAATCCAAATACTACAAAATTTGCATATAAAGTTTATTAACATGATAATATATATTCTTAAAAAAATTTAGCCAAAATCTTGTCAAATTGCTTAAGATATGGCTCAAAAAACAACCACTAGTAAACTAGATCACTTATTGCCCTTATATTGCAAGTGCTGACTTTAACTTTCAAAAACTCCTTTATTTTAGCTTAGAATTCATCAAAAAATATAAAAAAATATAGCCAAAAAAATTCATTCTTCAATTCTTATTGCCGATCCTTCATTGCTTTCCAAATGCATGCATTATATCTAAAAGAGTGACAATAGGTACAAAACCCATACTTTAACTTTGAGCATCTATATCTTTCTCATAAAAACTCCAAATCATCCAAAATTTGCACCAAAATCAAAGCTAATAAATCTAAACTTTTTGACTTTAGCCTCTAAATTTTGAATGGCTTCAAAAAAGTAATCCTAATTCCTAATAAAGTCTCAAATAGCCTCCTTGAAGCCCATTAGGCATGATTTTTGGCCAATAGGAATAGAGATTTTTATCATCCATCTCCATTCATTCATATGGATATAAGTATATTTTTAAAAAAATATATAAAATTTACATATTAATTGGATATTAATAAAAGTCTAAAATTTTAAAAATATACATATTTTTAATAAAATAATACATCAATACACTAGATATAAAATGAAAACATATTTACAAGTATTCAAAGTTTATTCCAATTAGATATATATACTTAAGACCAAATTCCCCATTTTTTAATAATTACTTATAATTAAAGCCAATTTGTTGTATAATCTATCTATTTCATGTTATTTACAAAAGATTAATATATTTCTTAAAATATGTAATGTTATGAATAAATTGGAAGATTTAGTTCAAACATATTTAGTCTATATACTAGAAAAGCTTAGAATAATATTAAACAAATTATATAATCTTTAAAATTACATTACCAATTTATTTTTTATTTTTTATTTTTATTATTTCTTTCAAATGGATTTATAAGATTAATTTTTAATTTTAATTTTTAAAACATGTGGACTTATATTAATAATTATTGTATATGAAAACGACTTTATTATCTTTTTAAGAACTTTAAGTATTTTAGTATTATTAAAATATAATTTAAAAAATTATTCTAATGTAATGGATATAAATAGGTAGCATTATTTTTATGGTATTATATTTCATAGAAATCAGTTTTGTTTTATTATTTATATGAGTTAATCTAAATATATATTAAATAATTATTACTTATTTAAATATGAGTAAGTTTAAATTTTTTATGAGACCAAAATATGTAATTATTGAAGCTTAAACAAATGAAGAATGTAAAAACATATACACCACTAAAAACAAATATTACAAAAACAGATGATTAGATTGCCGGTATATATTATTATTATGTGTTTACAATCCAACCTTACATATTATATTACATGTTATATTAGTTCAGTGACTTATTGTGTAACTAAGAAATGACAGAAGTATGGAATGGTCACCAAAAAGATTATGTACTGTTCAAAAAGAACAATTATAAAAAGAATCTGAAAACAAACATATCAAACTTAAGTTATATTGTAATGCAAATCATGCATAAAACATGAATGACTACTGATATGCCAAAGAATATGTGTCTCTATGTAGGTAATGGAATTGTAGGGTAAAATAACAAATAACAACCAATTATTCCATCTTCAATTACACAAGCAAAGCACATGCCAATGAGTTTTATGCAAAGAAGGAGATAAGGTAGAACTTTGTCCTGTCACAAAAAAGAAGAGAGAAACAAAATAAAATAGACCCATCTTTAAAAAGGTGAAAATCTTACTATAAGATAAAGTAAGATCTCAGATTGGACAGAAAAAATAAGAAAAAAAATTAAAAAAATCCTGTGGACTTGAGAGCCTGCGGAGCAGAATGATTTTTGAGCTGATGATTGCGACTCCGCAATGTTTTTTCTGAGTTGCTTGTGGCAAAATCCATGAGGAGCCCACGGCGGATGCCTTGGCGTCGTCACCCCTCAAACCCACAGAAAGTAATTGGAATCTAGAGCCGATTGAATCTGTATGTTTTTTGTGGCCTTAGAAGCTACGTCCGTGGGAGGCGAAGGGGCGAAGAGGAGGAGATGGAGATGGGGCAGCCATGTGCTTGTCACGTCTCGTTGACCAACCGTTTTGTTGGGGAAGTGAGAAGGAAGAATAGTGAGACCCTCCTTCACTGGAGCTTTGATGGTAGCTGGTGAGAAAAAGCGACACGGGGCGATTCAAAGGCCTGATGCATGCGCCTCGCTGAGTCATGAATAATGAAAGACACTGAGTGCATGTGTACGTATGGATAGTAGATGTGTAGATGGTTTTTGTTTTTGTTTTTATTATTGTTAATGTTATCCCTCGTTGACCCAGTTTTTTACAAGTCAACTCATGGGTCGAAAATCCGTTTTCTAATTCTCAGCAGTAAACTGAGCTGACTGAGTGAACTTCCAGTCCCAAAAGCTGCAGGTTGCTCTTAAAAAGACTGCGATATGGAATACATTTCTAATAAAAGAGGATGATTGGGTTTGACAGTGGCAATCAGCACACTGAAAGTCGCTCGTGCTGGTGGCGCCATCCATGCTTGCAAATCTAGAGTTTTATTTCTGTCTCAGTGCAGAGTTTTGCACGATGGGTGTGTGGAGCAACTCGTTTGAAAGTCTGTTTTTTTCTTCATCACCCAGCTGAGTTTCTGGCGTCTGTTTAAGACATTATCAAGCGGCAAACGAGAATCTGTTTAATCCAGCTCACTTCTCTTAGGGTTTTTTTTAAATGCAAAAACTGATCCAGTGTTAAATCACAGTGGTTTTTGCCCAATATCCTCGTCTTCCTGTGCATGAACCTCAACTAATTGAGAAAGTGTACCCGGCCAACAACATTAACCAAAATCAACAATGGTATTCAGCAATTTGATCGTCTCTGACAAGAGCATGTCTATGAGTCGACACTGACAACAAAGTATGTCTGTATTCGGAGGAAAGAGACCAGTCAAATTCGGTCAACTACCAATACCGCTGTTGACTAAAGTCCACCAAATTGCAACCAGGCCATGCGGAATTTCAATCAAATGATTTGTATCTGTGTGACACGGAAGGTCGAAGCATTGGAGTGGAGTGGAGGAGGACAATGACACGCACGACATCTCTCGTTCGCAACTGTAGCAATGAGCCGTGATGCTTGGCCTTCGATCTCGTCACAACGACAAAGAAGTTTCCGATGAAAGTCTCGAAGAAATGCTTATTACGAACCGGGAAAATTCAGTCTAGGTTTTGAATTTGTGTGCGGAAATGTTCACAATTCAGGGTTAGGTGGTGGGAATTTTGGAGATATGGTGGAGAGAAGGGAGTAACCCTCAGGGGGGATTATAATACTGCCCTTTCAATGATTTTGGAAACTAAAAAAATACTGTGTTCAACAGTGCGGCTAGATGTGTGCCCAGTGCTCGCAATTGGCAATTGCTTCTCACGCGGGTTTGCAAGTAAGACAAGACATGACTGAGGTGGTAACAATGCAAAAGACAATCTCCCACCTATGGTCCCAATAAGAGAGAGAAGAATGTGTCCATGCATGGTGTCATACAATCATAGACTTAGCTTTTCTCAATTCCAGGACACAACTACTTCTGTCGCCCTTTGAAACGGATCACAGATGTACAGGAGGTAATTCGTAGTTTACGGTTCAGTTAATCAGAATTTGGTGAAATACATTGTAAATTGGCAACAATTCTATCGCAGAATAACATGAAATTAGGAATCCATTGAGAGCAAGCGACCATACGAGAGGGACAAGAGGGTGGTCGAACTAACAAAGAATCTGCAGGACGGCTTGTACCGATGAGCTGAGCTCCCGCATGGCAAGAAGAACCTCATCAGTGCGAGGTGGGGGCCTGGCTAACAATTGATCAATCGAACAAAAGCTGATTCCTCACGATCAAGACGGAAATTGGATCAGAGCTTGCCCCAAATGGATGGCCCCACACACAATGAACTCGTTCTCCGACTTGTACTTACGCTGGCCGGTGTGGCTGCCTCATCATTCTCCTTGTCATCCACCGCACCACAATTCAACTGCCAAATGCCTCATATATGAGGCACCCTGTTTCATCTCAAGACACACCACTTATCTCCCATTCCCAGCTCGATCCAACGTCATGAGCTTCGAAGCCTGAGGCAAGTTCGTGCTTGGAAGTGATTGAATAGTGCGATCAATCAGGACAGAGGCAGTGTAGGGGAGAGTGGTGCAGATGGGTAGAGGAGACAGATTGCTGGTATGGGGGCTCCTCATGTTGGGAGCTTGGTCATGGGAAATCTCGGTGGTGGAAGCGCAAGGCTACTGGGAGACGGTGGTCGACAACGCCGGGATTGCCACCATGCACTCAGCTGTGTCACATGACGGCAACGTGGTATTACTGGATAGAACCAACGTTGGGCCCTCCCAGCTGAACTTGGCCCCTGGTGTGTGTCGTGACAACCCCCAGGATCGAGTAAGTGATCTCTCACATCTGAATGCATTGAATGGGCTCAGTCAGTTTCATTTATAATGAATAGAGAACAGTCGGGATTTAGGCACCATCAAGTCCTGAATCGGGAGTTCAAAAAGACTGGCTGTAGTTTATGAACGAGCAGCTTGGATGATCATAGCGAGCAATAGTATATTTTTGTGGAGTCGCTGGTGTTGAATTCTAATTGAATCTCTGTGGGGCTCTGTCTTGCGAGGACAGGCGACGAAACATGATTGTACCGCTCACTCAGCTCTCTTCTCCCCAGGCTCCAACAAAATCAGGCCACTCTTCGTGTACACTGATACGTGGTGCTCGTCAGGGCAATTTGATGGCAGTGGAAAGCTTGTGCAAACTGGAGGGGATGCCGACGGATTGATGAAGGTATGTCACTCCCGATTACTGCCTTGGATCTAAATTTCTTTAAACAATTCTCATGTATTAGTTTTTCAGATGCCATTTTAAGAAGCCAAATCACATGTCGCATCTCATAGAATGAATGGTTAGTCATGCCAATATACTACTACAGATGTGTGCCCACGCACTTTGCCATGACGAATGACGATACAATTAAGAGGATTTCTGAAGAATGATCTCTTACTGCTGCGGGTCCACCTTGCAGATTCGGCACTTCTCGCCATGCGGAGGAGGCGACTGCGACTGGGTGGAGCTGGACGGAGGATTGCAGGAAGGGCGCTGGTATGCGTCCAACCAGATTCTCCCCGACGGAACACAGATCGTCGTTGGTGGTCGCGGCGTTGGGACTGTGGAGTACGTCCCTGCCAATGGCCGTGGCACCTACGATCTTCCCCTCCTCTACAAGAGTAACGATGCTCAGATGGACAACCTGTACCCATTCGTGCACTTGTTGCCCAACAACCAGCTGTTCATCTTCGCGAACCGCGACTCCTGCCTTTACGACTGGGAAACCAACAAGGTGGTGCGCGACTACCCCACCATACCTGGAGAGCCCCGTAACTATCCGTCGGCTGGAAGCTCCGTGCTGCTCCCCCTGTCCGCTAACGCCAACTTTGGCAACGCCGAAGTCCTCATCTGTGGAGGAGCCGCATATGGCGCCTACATGAACCCCGCAGGACAGCCCGCATCTCAAACTTGCGGCCGCATCGCACCACTCGGAGCCGGCGCCGGATGGGCCATGGAGAACATGCCCCAGCGGCGACTCATGGGTGACATGATCCTGCTTCCCACTCGAGAGGTTCTCATCATCAACGGTGCGGGCGGTGGCGCACAAGGATGGGGCAATGCCGTAAACCCAGTCAAGATGCCCGTCTTGTACAAGCCTTACAACGCCGCGGGAGCTCGGATGCAAACATTGACAGCCTCCCCGATTCCGCGAGTTTACCACTCCACCGCCAATCTGCTTCCCGACGGCCGCGTCATGGTGGCAGGCAGTAACACACATCAGTTCTACACTTTGGCGGGATATCTTCCAACTGAGCTCAGAATTGAAACATTCTCCCCGCCATATATGGGCGCCAATCGCCCAACCTTCGCTGAGGTTCCCGGAGGTTTGAAATATGGGGGTGGATTCACCGCCACCGTGAAAGCGGCGAACCCCAAGAACATCGAACTGAACTTGTTGAGTGCGCCGTTCGTGACACATTCCTACGCTCAAGGACAACGGTTGTTGCAATTGGAAGCCAGCGCACCTGCTGCAGCTGGAGGAGGCGCTTACACGGTGGACTCGAAAGCTCCTCCCAGCGCGGCAGTCGCACCAGGCGGGTACTACATGCTGTTTCCTGTGGCTGATGGCAACGTTGGTTACGCATCGTGGGTGAAAATTGGCTAAGCGAATCCACAGAGAACAGCCTTTGTTCCAGAAGCCAACGACCTTGTTAATAGTTAGACAACCGCAATAAGAATTGCTTGTAAACAGAGGTACTTAATCCGTTTGTTCAGATGTTTGGGTACACGAATGACATGATCTTAGCTAACAGAGTTGAATGATTTTGTAGACGAGTGGAAATGAATGTTCCTGCTTCAATGCATTTGGTGTGAACTTGGTTTTGAAGCAATAAAAATGTCTACATAAGACATCTTTCGTGATTACAACTCAGCTCGAGGGACCATTTCACTGACTCGTCCAATTCTCTATTTATGTCTTTGATCGTGATTCTAATAGTGGAACCAGATAGCACAGGATCGAGCTCCTCCATCCATGAGGATCGCGACTTCAATCGGCAGTCACTAGCTTTCCGTCTGTTGTGCAAGATGGTTCAGACTGCGGCCATGTTCCACAATGATCTCGACATGGATCTGCAGTATCACTCCATTTTCTGACCTTATCTCAATTGTACATGCAATTGCTGCACTGTAGTGCCTTCATCTGCGAGAAGCTGACCATGTTTGCTTCGTGCGGTGATGGTGGACGACGACGCGGTGAACCGGCTGCGCATGAAAGACGGCGTCGTATTCACCGCCAAGCCTGAGAAACTCGATCTGAGTGTCAAAGTTATTCATGACTTATCCCTAGTTTTCTTTCACTTGTAAGATTTTATTTTCTTGGGCACATGGATAATGAACAGTTCGTGTGAAGTTCAGTCGATTTTTGTACTAGAATTTAGAAACACTTCTTCTTTACTTATTGATACTTTAATTTTTAGAGATAGTTTGGTCTGCTTTTTTTATGTAAATTATGACCTGTTCTATATATGATTTGAAAGATCACTACTTGGAGCATAAATTTTCTGTAACTGAACTATTTTGATACAAAAAAAAATTTATATTTTTACTCTAGAAAATGAAACTAGGTTAAACTTAGAAACAGTTTAAGTGTTGAGTATAATTCGTAGTCCATTGAACAAGCACTCATTTTTTATGATTACTTTTCTAACGTTACTACTACTTTTGTATTCTTTAAAAACTCTGATTGAATTAAATATTACATAATGCATTATTTAAAATTTTAAGAAATGGTGAAAAATTGTATATTTAATTTATATTACAAAAATATTAGCATTACAGAATAATATGCTCGGAATTATGAAAATTAAGGCTGAAAACTCCAAAAACACACATTGATTCAAACATAAAAAGTCCTTAAAGACACAAAGTAACCACAATATGTAAAATACTTTTTATATTAATATTTATGTTTTTTACAATAAATTTTTGATAATAGATATGAAAAATAACAACAGCGACATTGGTGGAATGCATAGAGCCAAAAGTTACATGAACTCTTCAAAGAAAATCATCATTTCTGAAAAAGAGGAAGCTATGTAAAAAATCAATTTAAACTTTAATTTGAACTTTCAAAACAACATAAGTTTATTTCATTGGAATACAATATATATATATATATATATATATATATATATATATTTCCACACATACACACAATTGAATATAATGCAGATCCATTTCGAGATCATCAGTATGGATTTTCTTAAGGTTTCGGTGTAGTTGTATGGTGGGGCCATGGTAAGTCACTGCAGTGTGTGGGTGACTGGAACTTAGATTTGAGAGGTATAAGGATGCAGAATTTCACATTTTAAGTGTGGGTGGCATGCAGCAGGGATTTGGATTGAAGAGTTTGCAACCTTGCTTGAGGTTTGGAGGTATTTGTGCAGAGCCTTCTGCCTGATCTACGCTTACTCCTTTCCAGAGCAGTAAATTACACCACAGGACCTGAATTGTTGCTGACTCTTCGGGAGTACAATTCTAATGTTCAGCACTTCTTCCATTTTCATGAACTTTTAAAAACCTAATCTGCACTTTTTTTTTCTTTTTTTCGTTTTTTTTTTTTTTAATTTCCTCGTGCATCTAGTTGAAAGCACAAAATTAGTTTAGATCCTGTTATTGGAGCTTCTGGCATAACTTCAACTTAAGATAGGTGCTGTAGTGACGAAAATTTGAGGTCTTACCACAGCATCCAGACAACTCGATTGCAGTCTATTCTTCATATTGAAAGCGATGAGGTATTAAAGGTGATGAACAGGATGTTTCCTTTCCTTTAAAATCCATGTATGTCCACACATTAAAATCTGTTTCTGTGAAATGTCTTGGGAGTCACGATGAATGTGCAGTTGATAACTTGTGTGAGTATTATTAACTTTGCGGCCCACGACGGGCATTAGAAACTTAGGGTTTTCTACGAGTTGTCGGTGAGTTATCAGCACAATCGTTAGTATCAGTCAGTATATTTCTCCATCACCCTTGTGGATATCATCAATGCATGTTTAAACCGCGAGTGATCAGTGTAATCGTGTTCTTATCAGTTAAAATCATTGTTTTGTTTGTTGTTTCTTCAAGCACTGCAGGCACTGGTGGCTCAGTACAAATAACCCACACAGCCATGCATTGTGCCTTCACGAGATATTGCTAATTGAATTTAATTGTGTTCTATAATCTCCTGATAAAGGTGGAGTGGTATAGTCTCTGGACAGGAATGTTTGGCTCTTCAATTCCACTAAAGCCTCAGAATCTGCTTAAAATTCTTCGGGATTCTTCCCATCGGAGTAAATCGTTGAAAAAGAAATGACAAGAAAAGTCATTAGATACACGCAGAAGCACAAATTTTTCATGACGAAATGATTAAAGTCTTTCAACTACTTATTAACAATACGCACTGTTATTTGGAAAATTACGGGTAGAACCAATCGCAATTGCACTACGTAATAAATTCAGGCACATGTAGCAACACAATCCTGCATCTTGTCTCATCCTGACGTTGGACGTTGAAATTAGTATTTAGTAGAATATGTATCATTGGGTGAACCCAAATCTTACTCCTCCCAACTCATCAACCCATGCATTCCATTTGTGTATTCTTAATGGTCCATGTTGGTTTTTGTAGTAAGTTCTCTATATAGCATCTCTTTTGGGACGAATAATTGACAGATTGGCTCTAAACAGCAGCCCTTACAATCACGTTCCGTTAAGTTACGTTATGTTAGGTTTTTTTTTCGTTTTACTTGTGGAATAATGCAGATTGGTGGTGTCCGCGTGTCGCAATGCGACGGAATGGAGCTGGGGTGAGGGTGAAACCGTCGCGACCCAACAATGAATGAATGATCCATGGGAACCTACCTCCAGCGGACAAAATATCCCCCCTCCGAAATTCAATTTTCAAAGTGCTATATTTGCAACACTGGAGGAGGAGAATGGGAATAGAGACCTCGTTATCTCCGCCCCCGCCCTCATCTCGCCTCGCCTCGTGTCTTCACCTGTCGCCGCATTCATTCCACTTGTAGAGCCACCTTCAAGCCCTCTCCTTCAAACCCCGCCCCACCCTCCCGCTCCACTACGCCTCATCCTTGCTTAAGCCGCAGACGATCGTGTTTTTTGTTGTGTTTTTATTCTCTGGGTCTTCATTCCCAACCGGAAATCATCAACAATGGCGTCCGCAATTGCAAGCAAGGTCTCAGCAGTGGGAGCCGTGGCGAGGCGAGAATTGGCGCCGAGCGTGGCTTCCAAAGCCTCGGTTGCATCGCTCGTCGCCGCCAGGAAGGCTTGCCTCGGCACCAGCCAGTCTCTGTCGAGCGTCTCATGGGTCGCGTCCCGCGTAGGGTTGAAGAAGCCCGCCGCTAGATTTGTGTCCTCGTCGTCGTCGTCGTCGTCCCGATCAGGGGCGGGGCAAGTGGTGGCCACGATTTCCGTGGGGGACAAACTCCCCGAGGCGCAGCTCTCGTATTTCGACAAGGATGGCAATGTGCAGTCCGTGAGTGTGTCGGAACTCACAAAAGGTAAGAAAGTGGTGCTCTTTGCTGTTCCTGGTGCCTTCACCCCTACTTGCTCGTCCAAGCATTTGCCCGGGTTCGTGGCCAAGGCCGACGAGCTCCGGAAGGCGGGCGTGGACACCTTGGCTTGCGTCTCGGTGAACGATGCCTTCGTGATGCAGGCGTGGGGGAAGAGCGCCGGCGTTGGCGACAGCGTGTTGATGCTGTCTGATGGTTTGGCCAAGTTTACCCAGGCTTTGGGTACAGCTGTTGATTTGACTGATAAGGTAGAGGGGTTGGGCATTCGGTCGCGGAGATATTCCATGCTTGTGGAGGACGGCGTAGTGAAGGTATTGAACTTGGAGGTGGGTGGCGCCTTCACGAACAGCAGTGCTGAGGAGATTTTGAGCAGTCTGCAGAAGGCCAATGCCTAAAATGCAACTTTCATGCTTCGGTTTTCTGGGAGCTGCGTGCATGCTTGGTGAGTAATTATCAGAGCAGAGTACTACAACCCTAGTACCGTTCTCTGTTTACCGTTTGTCTGATTTGCAACAGCAAAGCGTGGAATTGCTCGCGTCAATGTGGGTTTGATTGACTTAATCTTTTTAGTTGTTTTCTTTCTTTGAAGTCAATGCCTAATTTGAGTACCGCTCAATGTCGCCCTCAAGGAATTCTTACTGCAGTGTCTTTAAGTGAGAGTAAGTTAATCATTTAAAGATAGGTTACTGTTGAGTGCAGTTTGTCAGCAACTGGTTGTGTGGGTTTGTGTATTGAATGAAAAGGATGAAATGAGGTTTAAGTCTTGTGTGTCTTTGTGTGCAGGAATTACACTGTTGAGTCAGTTTGTAGACGTGTCAAACAGTGTTCGAGGGTTCATGGCGTAGGGTAAGGCAGGTGCCTCCTGATGTGAGTTAAGCGTGTTCGGTGCGTTGTACATTCGGGAAAGAAACAGCGAAGCAGGCTCGTGCGGATTGCTCCAGGCACGTAGGCATTAATTACTCGCTGGATTTTTGTAGTATCACAAACAGGCACTTGCAGTAGTTCTGTTTATATCTGTTTTCCAGAATGTATTTCGGAGCTTAAGTCTATAATTTGATGAGTAGGCTCCATCATCGCAGGAGTCGTTCTGTGATTGCGTTGTATGAGTAATTGTTTCATACGATGTTTTGGTTAAATTTTCTGTTATATTTTAGCACGATTCATACAATTTAGTAGTTTGGGGGTGCATTGTCGTCACGCCCACCATGCTGTCATGTAAGTTTGTATACTGATAGTTACGCTTCTAGCCTTATTTGGCGTCTTCACAAGACCGATTCTGTTCATCGCATACGAATGCACCGTTTCTGACACGCATTTCTGAATGGGCTGCGTTCGAAATGGAACATCAGCAACAGCAAATTCGAACGCCACAAATGAATGTCGTATTCGAATGTACCGTGCGTCGCTGTTTCTCGAACTGTTGCAATTGAGACGCTTATAGCCGACCCTTAGCTGTATTGTTGTGTTATGCTATTTCATAATGAAACATGCAATTTCTCGAACCCTGTTTTCGCTTCCAATACCAAACAAACAGCAGAGGGCAGCGTGTGATGACGTCCCATGGCGTTGTCTTTTACCCAGTGCAGTCCTCTCCTGTGTTCGTTGTTTGAGTATTTGAGAGGCATTATTCACTAGCCTGAGAACACATCGTATGTAACGATTTCTCTCCACTGAATATTGTCCATGATTTTGAGTATTTATTTGGCAACCCCGTATTGGGGTATACCAACAGAAGTTCACTGTCGGTAGTACACTTTGTTTCCTCAACCACCAGTCCTTCAGATCAAAGTGTAACAACCTAATCCTGGCTTCTCTACACAGTAACCTGACCTTGCCTTAAACGGCTCGTCTTGTTCACAGCATCCAACTAGGTTGAAATCATTCACCGGCTTCAGTATTAGGTGCTATTTACAGGAATCGCTAGGTTTACAGGTTTTAGGGTTACGGTAAAACCAAGGCTTTTGTTGCTTTATCATCCTCTTTTTGGTAAGATTAAATGACCTGCTTGTTGCTGTTTGGGTAGATGGTGCTCAGATAACTAGTTTTTAACACACAACTCTTCAATCCCCTTGCAAATTGTCTGTGTATTAGGCCACAAAGAAGCTTTGAAGACATGATATACACAATGAGTTTGAATTAGTCGATACTCATCCTATTCAAGAGTTTGGGCAACTCAAATAATTTCTGACACTTTGTTTGGGTCATTTGTCTTGTTTGGGTCATTCTCATCCAAAGGCTTAGGATGAGAATAGTTTGTCTCAAAAAGAAAATTAATACTTGGTTTACAGTGGGAGAAAAGAACCACAATTGTGACATAATTAGATGTTGAATCTAATGCCTCTCATACGTTTTATTCACCCACCATGAGTATAGATAGAAAGATATATATATATATATATATACATACGCACTTAAAAATGAAGGTTAAATATCAACTTGCTACTCTAGATCATACAATAGATAATCCATGAATGGACATGTATTTACAAGATTCTTTTTGTGACTTTACAAAGTGCCTATTAATGCATTATCAAAAACTTCAAACTAGAATAATTGAGGTAAAACAATTGTGTTTGTTTTTAATTAAATTAAATTAGGTTGATAATTTTTGATTACACTAAATTTATAACAAGTAAGTATCAATTAAGATATTTTAATTTGAAGAAATTGAACTTATATTAAAATAGTACAAATATAAAAAGTAAAGAAATGTTACTTTTATAGTATATTCAAATAAAAATCAATTTACTTTGGAAGTTTTGATAATATGTTTCTCTATAGCAATAAAATAGAAAAGAAATCGTTGAATTTAATATAAAATAAAAAATTTATTATCTTCATATAAATCTCATAAAAATAAACTTAAAATTAACAATTTTAAAAAGATTGGTTACTGATCATTTTGAACCTTATGATTTTTAGATTTAGTTATTTTAGTATACATCCAACAGTAAAATTCCTCGCTTAATTTCAAGATTACTACATTGAAGAATGTCTTATTGTTATTTTTTGCATATACATGTTATATTTATCATATTAATACTTCAATTAGTTGTAATCTGACACTAATAAAATAATTTATTTTATATCATACTTCTTTGCATTATTTGAATTGTAAGTCATTGTTGCATTGTGTATTAACATATTTACCAAAATAAAAAAATAAAAAAATAAAAACTATAATTACACTTATACCATTTTATTTATTTTTTTAAGTTAAGATTTTTAAAATTATATATAAAGTGATAAGATTTATTATATTTTTATCAGCCTTTATTAAAGTTTTAGCTTAACAAAATTATCCAATATATATATATATATATATATATATATATATTAGTGAAATAAATACAATTATTATATGATAAGTAAGATTCTCCTTTGTCATAACCACAACAGTCTCTATCTTATACTAAGCCCTCCAAAATTTTAAACTAGTTATGCAAAAAACAAATTTTGTCCCCACTTGATGTCTCTTAAACTTAAGAAAAAAAGGGTTAAGACACATCCCCTAAATGATTATACATTGAATGGCACTTATCCACTTGGTGCAAATTTTGTGGAAGTTATGCTAAAGAAAATTAATTGCCCAGCAATTTGCTAAGTAATCTTAATGTAACCCTCACTTGACACTTGCTCTAGGACTCTCAGACATATAACATCCCCTACCACAACAACACCATCAAAATAGCATTCACTAAGTGAAACCTCCATGTTATTGAACCAACACATGAAAATATCACATCTACTGACTGCCCCAAAGCATTTGACGACACGCTTCGACCAACATCTGATTGCTATATATTCAAATCCAAAGTCCTTTGCAAATTCTAAAACTGAAACCATTTGGCACGTATAGAACTGCAAAACCAAATCACTAAATATAGATGTAGTCGGTGCTGGCTTTAGAAGATAGCAACATATAAATAAAGTTACGCATGGGCAGTGGACAGCGAGGGGTACATCTTCAGAGTCGCTTTGGCCGAGTGGTTAAGGCGTGTGCCTGCTAAGTACATGGGGTCTCCCCGCAAGAGTTCGAATCTCTTAGGCGACGAAGTGAACCGGAATGATGCGACTAGATGAACCCCGCACATTGTAAATTCAGGAATTTTGTTTCAATATGAATCTTTTTTTAAATTTTGTGAATATATTGTAATTTAGAAAAAGTAATAATAATAAATAAATAAATAATCTGAAAATTGAAATCAGTTAGCTGAGTTTTGGTTTACGAAATGAACAGATGTATGTGTTTATAACTAAAATCCATAGAGTCTCACACAATTGCAGGCTCTTGCGGGAACAGGAAATCGGCTTTAAGTGCACAGTAATGGGGCAAGGGAACGAAACATGCGAACAAGGCATGGGAACCTTACCCAGAAGGCAAGGCAACTGCTTTCTCGTCATTGCCATTGCCATTGCTTCCGAGGTCCCGCTCCATCTATCCTTCTGGTATGGCGGAGGAGACTTGACAAAATTTCTGATTGTGGGCCATCGCAGTTTCGGCCACCAGCAGGCTGCTGCTCGGAACTGCTAATTTACTTGCGACCCAACTCGTGTGAACAGCTACGGGCTCTCCGTCAGCTCCCGGCCTGTCGCTCTTCTACCGCGACCTCCACTTTCTTTTCTGGCTCCACCCCCATTCAGGTATGGACTACCACGGATGAAAGACTTGTAATTACCAGAGAGTACATGGCAGCAAAAGCTTCAATCGCTTTGCGTCTTTATAGATATTCATGTTCAGCTCAATTTGCAGATACGAGCCTCTGATTTCTCGTCATTATGGTTCATTGTGATCGGCCTCGGCGGCATTCGTGGTTGAATTTTGCAAATTGTGCATGAATCTCGTGTGGGGCATTGGAATGAGTGAGGGTGGTCGTCATTCTCATGTTAGTAGAGGCTTTGTCACGATGCGGTTTTTTTTTTTTTTTCACTCAGGTGAACCGGGGCGAGTTGAAGGTGACTTGCAAGAGGGCGGAGGTTCATCCCCAGTTCTACAATGAGACTAAGGTTTATTGTAACGGGGAGCTTGTGATGACCACAGGCGGCACACAAAGTGAGTACGTGGTGGATGTGTGGACAGGCAACCACCCCTTCTATCAGGGCAACAAGTCTGCTCTTGTTCTCGACGCAGACAGAGTAGAGAAGTTTCGGCAACGGTATGGAGGCATTGGCTCCATTCAGGAAATTCCCACTCTACTATCCGGTGAAGTAGTCTTTCAAAAGAAGAAGAAGGGACCGATCAAGGGGGGCAAAGGAGGCAAGAAGTAGCACCCAATATCCTGAGGCAGAGCTTTTTTTAGGTTTAATTCTCGAAGCAATCAGAATTTTCTATTATTTAGTTTAGTTCTTGTACGATGTTTCACCATTCTAGCCTAAACGTTACCGATTTCTGGATTCACAGAACATGGACATGCCGATCTACCAGTTGTCTTTGTAGCATACAAATGGGTTGCAATAGGCTCTATGGATTGTGGAGCTACGGTTGATATTCTCCATTCATATTTACCTATGCAAAATTATATCCCCTGTGACTTCACAGCTCTCTGCTGTCTTTATTCCTTTGTTTATTTGACTGGCATCTGTTCTACATTAGCTATGCCTTTATCCCTGGGCTTCCACTCTTCAAAAGGGATAGCACTGTTCATAATCATATTCTTTTCTCTGAATGGCAACTTTGAGTGATTGTGATCAGTACTGGTGTGAATGTGATGTATTTGGAAATGGCAACATAACATTGTAAAAGCCAGAACTTTTAATACAAACTGTAAGTAAACAATCTGGAATATGGTCACTTGTCTTATCAATGATATAGACTAGATGGATCATGTGTTGTCTTTTCAACTCACAGCATTTCAGCACATTCAAGGGATGTGCCCAAATTCTGTCTCTAATTTGCGTTGAATGGATGAACTTACTTAGTATTCATTAAGCAGGTTTCCTGCCTGTTTCTTCTCACCTATTTCACCCTTGATGTTGCCTGGGAGGAACTGTGAGTGACTCTGGCAGCAACCATTGTGGAGCAAAGAGAATAATGTATCATTTGGATACATGCTACATTTTTAGTTAAAGTCCATTAGTACCGCCGAATTATGCATTTCTTATGAATCTACCAGGTTCTTTCATGAGGGATTAGGACTTAATAAGACCCGATATAGAGCTCATTTGGGGGTAGCCGGAAGAGAGAGAGGAAGATTTAGGAAGATTTAGCAAACTGCCGCTGCTTCTGGAGGCTTCTGAAGCTCCTCTCGTTCATCTCATGCCGTTTCTCAGACTCATAAGTGGTGATGAACTGCTAGTCGCCGCTTCTTCTCGTTTTCAGCTTAGAGGCCCATCATGGTCCTTTTCTTCTAGCTGCCCTGTTGCTTCGATCGCGACATTGCATCTTCTTTTAGGGGTTCTCTCAGGTTGTGGATTCTCTTGTAGAGGGAGGTTCAGGTTGTGTCGTGCCTGAGGTTTTAGGTTTGTGACTGTAGTTCGCCATGTATCGTGTGGCGGCAGCATTGGCGTCCCGCGTCAGCAGGTGCTACACTTTCCCTCTTCATCTGTGGAAATCCCAGTCTTGAGTGACGTGATTATTGTTCTGGGCATCAGTTAGAGTGCCATTTGAAGAGTGATTGTACATGTTCTCGTTTTGTCTCTGATAGCGAGTCTTGTGTTTGTGAGTCGGTAGACTTTTGATTTCGATTATTTGGAAATGCGTCTTCTTGTTCAGTGTTTAGCATCTGTATAAATTCTTGATGTAGCGTTCCGTGTAAGAACTTGCACGGGGTGATCGTCTTCTGAGCGTTTCTTTTAGGGTGCCTTATTGGTGAATGGGATCTTCGTGTTGGGTTGTCCTCTATTTTGTCTTCATGTTTACAACTTCTCGGTATCGCGAATACTCTCTCCACACGCTTACTGTAACTGTATTGTTTCGGTGTTATATTCTTTCTAATGGGAACCGGCTTGTTTGCTTTGAGGTCATAGTGGCCTCCGACCTTCTTTGGCTCGTCTCCTGCTGCGTCGATGACTTTCTTCAACTGTCTGCTATGACGATCTTGAAATTTGACCTAATCTTGCTGTGTTTTCACCAATGCGATTCCGAATACCTAGTGTTACGCAGAGAATTTACTTGGAGGGCTTTTTTACAGGGCGACTGTTGTTGCAATGATTTGCACTGTATTTTCTTTTCGTGTTTATATTACTGCTTTACCTAATTTAGTGATGTGTTTGGACTTGGACATATTTTGTAGGGGACAATCACTTGTGCAAGTAAGTTTCCATACACATTCAGTGTTAATAGAATACCTAAGAAATTTAAGATCATCAAATTTTCTTGTGACTTTACTGCACGTTTATAACCGTAATTTATTTTTCTCGACATAGCACGTACTTTGCGTTTAAGAAAACTTCACGACTGAGAATGCCTAGCTGAGGTGATTGATTTGGAAATCTTGCGACACAGGCATGTAGATTGCAGTCAGCTCGCAAATTCTCTGGGAAGGATATCAGGTTCGGAGTTGAGGCTCGAGCTCTTATGTTGCAAGGTGTGGAGCAACTTGCAGATGCTGTGCAAGTGACCATGGGCCCCAAGGTAACCTGCTGCCTGCTATTTTGCTTTTCAGTAGGGATCAATCCCGAACTGTCTAATTCTTGGTATTCTAGCTTTAGATCCGAGATTTTACTTTGACTTAGAGTCGTAGTTTTAGGGGGATTTGATAACATAGTTTACGAATTAACTGTAATGTCGTGACGTTGTGCTCTCTTTCCAACAGGGCCGGACTGTTATCATCGAGCAATCTTTTGGATCTCCTAAAGTGACCAAGGATGGTGTTACTGTTGCGAAAAGCATTGAATTCAAGGACAGGCTTAAGAACGTGGGAGCGTCACTTGTAAAATCGGTAGCAAATTCTACCAATGACGTCGCTGGAGATGGCAAGTGCTCTGTGTCATATAATTTGTGAAGTTTGAGTTCTTAGTCAGGAGCATTATTTTCTTGAATATTGCAGGGTCTACCGTATTCAATCTAATGACGACACATTTAGACGTGATTATAGACACTGTTCGTGGTTGTTTAACTATCCGATTCGTACTGGGATCATTTGGCTAACATTGGCTGAAACACCCTGCAGGAACCACTGCTGCAACAGTGCTCACACGAGCTATTTTTGCTGAAGGGTGCAAATCAGTAGCAGCTGGTATGAACGCAATGGACTTGCGCAGGGGCATCAACCTTGCTGTGGAAGCAGTTGTAGCTCATCTCAAGAGCCAAGCGAAGATGATCAGCACATCTGAGGAGATTGCACAGGTATATCTCTTTTCGTTTTTAGAATTTGGTTCTTCAGAGTTAGTGCTATTGATTGTATATCTCATGCTGTGAACCATATGTTTGAGATCGCTTCTGTTTCATTTTATCGGTGATTTGATTCGTGTCATGGTGCTCCCTAAACTTCGGACAGGTGGGAACAATCTCTGCAAATGGGGATCGTGAAATTGGTGATTTACTAGCTCGCGCCATGGAGAAAGTAGGCAAAGAGGGTGTTATTACTGTTGCGGTAAGTAGATGTCTGTGTGTCATACTCTCTTGTTTTACCATTGCGGATTTAGTTATGGTTTGCTTCCCGTGATAGGTACAAGACGATGCTGTTGATGTCAATTTTTGACCCGCGATTGGGAGTAGCGTATTTAATAGTGGCATTTTTCCAATTCAATGATAGTGACTGGGAAGGGGCGGCGTTTTCTGTAGGATGGAAAAACTTTGTTCAATGAATTGGAGGTTGTTGAGGGTATGAAGCTCGACAGAGGATATATTTCCCCTTACTTCATTACCAATGCGAAGACACAGAAAGTGGTGTGTATCTAAATCAAAACGCCTTGTATTCTGATTATGTCTATTCTCGCTCATTGCTTGGGGTCTGTGCTGATAACTACCTACATTTGACTCTACAAAGACGTTTCTAGACTTTTGTTGTAGTGTCCTACTCAATGACGTGATACTGTGCTTGCTCTTTGCTTGCGGTTTATGTTGACAATACCTGACTCTTCAATTGGTGATTTTCGTTATGCTCATCCATTACACAGGAACTGGAAAATCCCGTGATTTTGATCCACGAGAAAAAGATCAACAGTCTTCAATCAATCCTTCCAGTGCTTGAGCTTGTGGTTAAGGTAGGAAATTGTCAATCTTTTTGCATTATTTAAGTTTTGTTTCTTAGAACCATCCCTCCACAATGGTTTCTGATTTCTTTCTGTGGTTTATTTGAGCTCTAAACGGAGGCTTTTGCTTTCTCATTCAATGCACACAAGAATTAGTTAAAGTGATCTGTCAGTAGTGCTGATAATTGAATTTGATTTGGAAGGATCAAAGGCCATTGTTGATCGTTGCCGAAGACGTAGAAAGCGAAGCTCTGGCTACTCTGATTGTTAACAAGCTCAGAGGAGGTGTTAAGGCATGGATTCAGTGCTCTCATGTCTTCGTATTCTGCCTTTCAGCGACCTTTGCTGAGTTTTTCTTTGTTTGTGTTGGTGATACCAGGAAGTGGCTAAGCAGCTTGCTGGCATTTAGTTGTATTCATCCGATTAAATAGGGTTTTGTAATGAGCATTTCGTAGATGAGGCAGTTTGTGCAGTCGCTATTTTAGAACGCCACTAGATCACCCCATCAATATTGCTTGACTGTGACAGTGTTGATCTTTAATTATGGAAGTTCTTCTGCAATAGATATTGATGTCGGAATGCTCGATTTTGTGAAAAATAGGTCTGTGCAATCAAGGCACCTGGTTTTGGTGAGAACAGGAAAGCACTCATGCAGGATCTTGCCGTGATTACGGGTGGTCAGGTACTTTTAACTGCTCTATCTCGCCATTTGTGATTTTACGGATAGAACTCTCCTTAATTACGTTTGATCTCATAAACGCGTTATTGTCGGCTTTCTCTTAAAAGGACTCCTAAGAAATACTTGGAGTCTTGCGTGTTCATTGGTGTCGCACTACTGATTTTTGGAATGATTGGTGCAGCTCATCAGCGAAGACCTGGGATTCAAACTTGAGAAGATTACTCCAGTAATGCTTGGATCTAGCAAAAAGGTTAGTGATGTTGTATAACTATGTGCTTGCTTGCTGAATGTTGGTGCTTTTTCAGCTGCCATACTTGTTTGCTTTTGGCTATGTGATTGTCAAAGGTTACTTATTTGCAGCTGAAACAATTTCATCCGGATAGTGATATTTTCAACAATTTCAATCATGTCACAGGTAACTGTATCAAAAGATGACACGATTATCTTGGATGGCGGAGGTGACAAGACCATCATTGAAGATCGTATTGAGACGGTAATGTACTCTTGCCATCTGTATATTTAGCTATTTAGTTTTCGTAGTCTGTTAGCGTAAGGACTGGAGTGAGTGGGGTTTGATTTTCATCAGGTTAATCTTTGTGCCAATATGTCCCGTGCTTGTGGTGAATTTTCTTACAACACATTTCATAGCGATCGTGGTTATGTACTACCATTTGACGAAGAAAATGTTTTCCGCAGATCCGAGAGGCTATCAACAGCGCAACTTCTGATTACGACAAGGAAAAGTTGCAAGAGAGGTTGGCTAAATTATCAGGGGGTGTTGCTGTGCTCAAGGTAAGGATCCATCTGAAGCCTGTTCATCGTTCCAGTCTATGATCATTGGAGATATGGCATTCCTGCAATTACCGATGTGTTGGGTTTGAAACTTATATGATTCATTTCAGATCGGAGGAGCAAGCGAAGTTGAGGTGAGTGAAAAGAAAGATCGTGTTACTGATGCACTGAATGCTACTAAAGCTGCTGTCGAGGAGGGGATTGTACCTGGTATGATTGTCGAACTTTTGAATTTTGACTTGCGTTGTGATCCTTCGCATCAGTTGTTTTGAAATCCGTTAAGAAGTTAGTTTAAAAACGTGATCAATATATCCGAGCTGTTATGTAACATGCTGAGTTGTTTAAACTTGTACCTGTTTTGAGGACCATGTCATTTGATTTACTGGGATCACATCAAATAATGGATGAGTGTTTCACGGGATTGAATCAGGTGGTGGTGTTGCTCTATTGTATGCTTCCCGGGAGCTTGATAAGATTCAAACCGCGAACTTTGATCAGAAGGTTGGAGTGCAAATCATCCAGAATGCCTTGAAGGTACTTTTTGTGCAACTTGATCTGGAGTGAGTTTGTAAAATGAACGAATCTGTATCGGACTTAGGAGAGGCTATTGTCTTGATCGCATCAGCTTATGTGTCCTCTTTACTGGGAGTAAAATTTCGGTGAAATGTAATGAGCATGTTGTACTGCAGATGCCCGCCTACACAATTGCACAAAACGCTGGTGTGGAAGGGGCTGTGGTTGTTGGAAAGCTGTTGGAGCAAACCAATATGAGCATTGGTTATGATGCTGCTAAAGGTGCGGCATCCATTTTGTTCATTCGAGCTTCACTTCTGTCAAGCTCATTAAATTATTTGGAATGGACGACCCCTATTGCGAAGCACGTGTCTTGGTGGTTCATATGTTTCGTTTTGATTCTGTTTTCTTTTCCGGTGAGGCGAGCTGCTGTATATTTTGTGTCCTAACAATGTAAAGAGAGATTTGGGCTTCTTATAGCTTCAGTGGGTGGAAACTTTTTGACACTAATTATCCACTACATTTTTGCAGCCGAGTATGTTGACATGGTGAAGGCAGGAATCATTGATCCTGTAAAAGTTATTAGGACTTCACTTGTTGATGCTGCCAGGTGTGTTTCAAACTCTGGTGTCTAGCGTTTCTGCTTGCTGTATGTACATGTTACATTTTTGCTTGTCATTGATGTTAATATCCAGTTACGCAAGTCCTTTGGTTTATTTATGTCACTTCTTATATTACCACTACTTAGTCGCACCACCCCTCTGATCTGTTTTGATGTATGCTAATTTTGTTTACTGGTTTGCAGTGTCGCATCGCTAATGACAACAACTGAATCAGTAGTTGCTGATTTTAACAAAGCCGAGGACAAGGAAATGATGGGAGGCATGGGAGGCGGCATGGGAGGCATGGGGGGCATGTATTAGAAAGTCTAAGGAAATGGTAGATAAAATTTTCATTAGTGCGTGGAGTTGACTGTATACACGCACTAATAACATGCCTCGGAAGAAAGTTGGTGCAGTGATCGGGAAACTCATTTTTGTCCTTCTGTCAGAGAACACAAATTTTGGCCACACAATGTAATCAAAGAGTCAATTTTCGAAATTCTCGAACTTTCAGTTCGAAGGAGATTGATATGACCCATTCAAGTCGTATATGTCTACACGCATGGATACAGTAGCCTATGTAAACAAGCATATTTCAGAATCCCCATATCTTTTACTTGGTGCGTTAATCATTTTAGAGCGTTATAATCTCAGTGTCTAAATTTTCCTAAAAGCAAGCTAACTGCATCGTTTTGAGAACAATTCTGGAATGAGAATAGGTTTGGAGGAACCAGCTGATTTTTACTCAACCTGTCGTTCTCCCTAGAAACTGTATAGTCTCAAGTGTGGTGGATTCAAATACTTTCCTACTAACTACCAGTGTAAAGATATTTTCCCGGTTGAAGAACTAGAACTATAATATGTTACAAACTGACGCCTAATTTTTTTAAGTGTCCAAATCACAGACTGAACTGATAGTGAGGTAGAGCTTTTCACTTGGGTACGGTCTCTGTTGGGATGTTAGATTGTAACAAGTTATTCGTGCATAATCTATTGATACTTAAAGAACAAATACTTGATTATTGAAATGGAAAGAATAATTTTAATCTTTTGAAGAACCACCATATCTATTTAAAAGGTAAGATTAGGTGAGTTCATGTAGTTGGTGTGATGAGTAAATTTTTTGAAAAGTAAATGTTTTACTGGTTATGTGATTATAATATATTTAAAATTAAATATATCAATTTAAAAGTATTTTTTTATTAAAAATTTTACTTTAAAACTACATGATATTTTTTTTCTAATAAAGGTTTGATACTAGAATCTAAGTAGATTTTTTTGATATTTTAAATTTTTGTTTTCAAGTTTAGTCAAGCAATTTTTAATTTTTTGCAATAAGATTAGTCAAGCATTTTTTTGCAATAAGATCTGTTATAATGTAATGTTTTCTTCTTTCTTTTATCATTACAATGAGGGCTAGGAACAAGGAATAGGGATATGAGATGGGGATGAGAATGGAGGATAGAGGAGTTTGGAATAAGGGACAAGGGCTAGGAATGGAGGGGATAAGAAACAAGAATGGGGGAATTTTGGACAAGGAGCAAGATCGGGAACACAGGACACAGAGATTGGAACTAGGATGGAAGATAAATTGAATTAATCATGAGATGGTAAGAAAGGTGCGGCATTAACAAAATAGGTATGTGGTTTTAACAACTCCATATCTATATATATATATATATATATACAAATATTAGAATCCTTGGAAGTACATAAAATACTAAAAATGAACTTCATAACATTTTAAATATTCTTTAAGCAAAATCTTGCATGTTAGCAATCTCAACCATAGATATATTATTACTAAACTTGTAAAAAAATAAAAAAAATATGTTTTTTTAATGCATATATCAAGAAGTTATGCAATTGAAAGAAATAAGTATAAGTAGATCAACTTCAATAGTAAATTCTAGAAATCTTAATATCACAATTACAAAAGAACCTAAGATTAAAGAGATGTGATGGAACAAGATCAAAATTTTGAATTTTTTTATAAGAAGTTATTTTATTTTATTTTATTTTTTACAACTACAAGCTTTTCAATATCCTAATAATATTATTCAAGTAGGATTTATAAATATACTTCTATTTATAAGTATTTTATTTTATTTTTTATTTTATTTTTTAAAACCTTTAATAGAATATGATTTATAACTTTAGTATGATTTGAACTTATTTTTGATGGCATTTACAACTACATTTGGATAGAGTGACCAAAAAAAAGTAGTAAAATTAAAAATCCAATCTTTTTAATAAATATCATATCTAATTGCTACTTATATTATATAATTCTAATAACTTACTTGTAATTTAGATTAGAATAATAAAACTTTTATTAATCAATTTTAATATGGTTTAGGAGATAGTACCAAAGATTTATTGTTGACAATGCCAAAAAGTAAATTTATTAAAGTAATTTATCACTCAAGCAATTAAATATATAATCAATTTTTAGAAAGATTGCCATGTCATTCTATAATATAATAATTATGTATTCTCTCCTAGCCTAAAATATGTTGGTTTGGTGATAGTAAAGTTTTGAAGGTTGATTTAAACTAAGTAAAATTGGATTATTAATATCCAACTTGAAAAAGGTATAAAAAAGAATATTTGGAGGCTTGTTTGGTGGAACAAATTCTTAGTTGCTTCTCTTTTCTTATATTCTTTATAAGTCTTATATATAAGTTTAATTGTTATAATATAAGAGATGAAGTCTTATGTTTAGATTTCTCCTTGTGATTTCATTTGTGATGCAAGTTTAGTCTTATTAAGATTTAATAGAAGCTTGAATGTAAAGTTGATTTATTATAAGGCTATGCATTATTTTCTTACTTAATGAATATTTTTCATGTGACTGCATGTGATTAATATTTTTTTAGAGTAATTTTTTTGTTAGCAATAAGTGATAACATGACAAGACATAAGTAACAATTATTTGATTAAAGAAATGAAAATAAAGTAATAACAACTCTTAGATCCTTAGAAATTTGTTCATTAAGATTATAAGTGATACAAATTGATACAATCTATTTTAAGTGATTAATATTAGAGAAAAAATATAGATATTGATATAAAAGCTACTATTTATATTATTAAAAAAATCATAAAGTACAAGACTATTACATCAAATCAAGTGAATTTAAGACATTAAATACAAGATTAAACACAAAAATATTAGAAAACAAAGATGTCTATTTATGGTAAATATCTTACAATTAGATAACTTTTATAATAGAGTATAAATAAGATATTTGTATTGTTGATATATAGAAATAAATAATTGGAACCATGTTTGATAAATTATGGAAGTCTCTAGAATTGGGGCTAGATTAGTAGACCATATAGGATCCATCGTAGAACATTTTAAAAAGAGCCTAGGGCGATTATTCAAGTGGCACCTACTAGGAAATCTTTCAGAAAAGGCTTATGGCAGTTATCTAGGTAGAATCCATTATGAAACCTTCTTGAAAAGGTTTAGGGCAGTTATCTAGGTAGGATCCACCATAGAACCTTCTAAAAGGAGTTAAGGGCAGTTGTCTAAGTAGAATCCATCATCTATGAACATTCTAGAAAGTCTAGGATAATAGAACAGATATAAACAGGACTTGCCAAGGCCTTCTAAGATATTTGATCAAGTATGGCTTTAGACCTTCTCTTTTAGTAAAGTTTGGTTCTGCATCTTCCTGTTCAATTCTGTTTTGTTCTATTTCTGTTTGATCAATTTTATCTTTTGTGAGCAATTCTGTTTAGTTTTGTTCAATTTTGTTTTGGTCCATTTTGTCGTATTTTGTGATGAGGATTTATGTTGCTATGGATTAGAATAGTCTTAGACTCTCAAGATAGATTAGTCCTGTTTCAACTTTAGACTCTAACCATCAAATATAAATTTCATATTGCTAGGTAATTTTTTAACTTGTTTAAACTTTCAATGCTTGTAAAAACTTTTAATATTTAGAATTTAAATAAAATTGCTTTTAAATATCAAAAACTTAACATATTTTATAGATAAAGACTTTACATTATACTACAAATTAATAATCTTAAAGAAGAATTGACTAATTATAAAAGGGATTATTATTAAAAAAAAAAAAAAAAAAAAAAAAAAAACCACTTGAATCTAAAGAAATTATTGAAAAATCAAGCCATTAAAATTGGCGCTAGAAGATCAAATATTAAACATAATCTTTAATAACATTTGATAATATTTAAGTCCAATTATACTTGACTATTTTTGTTTGAATTATATTATTTTTATATTAATTTAAAATTAGAAACATCAATATAAGATTTAGTCTAAATATCAAAAAAATATATTAACCTTTATTTGTTAGAGCTTAAGTCTTTACATGAGTGATTAAAAAAAAATAATCCATTTATCAATTATGCAATATCAAGTCATCATTGAAATAGAGATTATAGTGGAATCTTGAAGCATTGTGAGAAGAATCTAGATGTCTTTGAAAAAAAGTATATTAATGTATTGCCAAAATACCAATCTTATAATTATATAATTGATCTTCTGAAAAGAACTTAACCAAAATTTATACCAATTTACAACTTGTAAAAAAAACCTTACTATATTCAAAGATTATATTAATGAAAAATTTATATTTTTTATATTATTTTTTTAACATTCAAAATTTCTTGCAAGTGTGTTTATTTTCTTTATGAAGAAAAAAGATGGATCCTTAAAAATGTGTGTAAATTATTGTGGATCCAAAAACATTGACCATCAAAAATTATTATTCTTTGCTTATAGTATCATCACTTTTTGATTAACCAAAAAAAGTTAGGATCCATGCTAAGGTAGATCTATAAAGAATCTATAATTTGATATATATTAAAGAAGATAATAATTATAAGATTGTATTTTCAACTAGATATGGCTATTTTGAATGTAATGGCATGTCTTTTACACTTGCAAATGTTCCAATTTCTTTCCAACATTGAATGAATGATATATTTTGTAAATTTTTAGATAATTTTATTCTCTCTTATTTGGACAATATTCCAAGAATATGGAGGAGCATAAATATCATATATGCCTTGTAATACAAATGTTTAGAGACACCAATTTATATGTCAAGATAGAAAATATGTATTTTACACAAAAAAAATATAATTTTTCTGACATATCATCTCAAATAATAGTTTCTGAATGGATTCTAAGAAGGTACAAACAATTACGAATCGAACACTTCTAAGAATAACACATAATGTCTAACAGTATTTAGAATTTTCAACTCTTATAAAATATTTATTAAGAATTCTTTTCAGGTTGCTAGTCTATCTAATTAACTTCCAATTAACTTCCAATCAACTTCACAAGACAAATTAGAATGAATTAAAATATGAATCTCACATTTTTTTTTGAAGCTAATTTTTTAAAATAGAAACTCGAGGCAACGGAAATAGACAAGCTTGTATCAAAACTCCTAATCATACTTCGAACGCTTCAAATCAGTATCTCTGATGTCATTCAAATTTTCTTCCACCTGGTGCCTCTAATTCTGTCTTAAAGTCGAAGTTTTACTAACTTTACTTGCCTCACCCGCACATTTCTAAATTACGTTTCGTGTAGCATTGTGGAGAAGTCAGAAGTTGTGTGGCGATGACGTGGGACTGCTTTCGCGGCGTCTGCTTTTTTTAGCAACACACAGGAGTGGTTGCTTGACATTGTGTGTGAATAGTACGATGAAAATGCACGGTTAACTCCTTATGCATCTGTATGCCACTAGAATCACCGTTCAAACATGGGTAATGTATGGTTTCAGCGATTTATTTTCGCCATCTCTTATTGCGGGTATTGCGTTCAAAACAGGATGAATGGACTGCCCTTGAGAAGTCTATATCTACTAGGTAGCTTAAGACAACTGCATAGATTTGGATTCCGTTAGAATTTCAACCTTGGAGACTCCTGATTCCGAAGCAGGGAGGTTCTTTACTGCTGCAATTCGTGATCTGCTGCAGCAAAGGCTGCGGGCGCAATGAATTTCAAAGTGATTATGGGAGCAGTGCTTCTGCTCTGTTTGTGGATTTCCGTCGGGGTAAGCTTTTTCTCTTTTCGTAATCTGTAATTGCGATTGTTGATGCTTGTGTTGCAATTTGAATTTATATTGATGTGTCGTATTTCTTCCTTGAGTGCATCAATAGCTGTTATGACTAGAATGCATTACAGCGGAATAATCTGATTAGGGCTATTTGTTCATTATGCAGGCTCAATCTTCCTCAAAGCACAGTTTTGTCATTGAAAATAATCTTTTCTTAAAAGATGGGGTCCCGTTTCGAATCATTGGGGGTGACCTGCACTACTTCCGTGTACATCCACTGGTAAGTCCGTCGTAACGACAAGCTTCTGTTCTACCATATTGTTTTTATTAATGCTCACGGTTTGTGCATTTTACCTGACAGCTCTGGGAAGACAGACTACTCAGAGCGAAAGCACTTGGCTTGAATGCAATTCAAACCTATGTCCCTTGGAACCTTCATGAACCACGCCCTGGCCTTCTCAACTTCAATGGCTCTGCAGATCTATTGTCGTTCTTGAAGCTGGCTCAAGAACTAGATTTTCTGGTGATTCTCCGCATTGGGCCTTACATCTGTGCAGGTTAGGAAACCTTTTCAACGTTGTTTGATGTAGGGCTTCAGTTTTTTTATTTTCTGTGTGTTGATGGCTCCTTGTGATGTGCCCTAACTCCTTGCTGACATAAATTGCGATTGGTTTGCAGAGTGGGACCTCGGTGGTCTTCCCGCCTGGCTCCTTGAATTGAAACCTTCGGTGAGATTGCGGTCATCTGATGCATCTTATCTTTCTCAGGTGTGTAACCTAGTTCCGCTTTGCATAGCTTCCATTTAATCTTTGTGTAGTACAGAATCACTGATGAAGAATACACTGAGATATGAACCGTAATTCAAGTAAATACAGGCCTAAAAACTCGCCGCTCAAATGTGTTGTCAATGCGTATTGGCTTCCTTTTTGTAAAGCAAAAAATGAGGATTTCGCGATTGAAATCTGAGGAGCACGTTGCTGGGTGAGCAGGTTGACAATTGGTGGAAGGAACTGCTTCCTAAGATAGCCCCCGAGTTATTCTCAGCAGGCGGTTCGGTTATCATGGTTCAGGTGAATTTATCCAACCTTTCACCTTGCCGTTTTTATTGATAAATACATCATTCTTTTGTGATACTTGCTAGAATGATGAACTGTTGATGAATGGCCTTCCAAATGGGCATTCTTATATGGTCATGTATACCTACCATGCTTCTCTATTGCAGATTGAAAACGAATATGGATCTTTTGGGATCGACAAATTGTACCTACAGTTCCTCCAAAAGCAAGTTAGGTCACATCTGGGAAATGATATAATCATGTGAGAATTTTTACATTTTTCCTTTAAGTTATTATTGTCCATTTTCTTTTCATGAAAGATGTTTTCAAGTCAAGAACATTTAGACACCCCCATCACTTTTTTCTGCACAGATACACGACTGACGGTGCGGTCGAGGAGAACCTAAGCTATGGCTCCCTATCAGACGACGGTGTGTTTGCAGGTTAATAACACGCTTTTTTAAATGTCTCTGACCAGCTTCCATCCTCTCGAGTCCCTTTATTCTTATTCATGCTCAATTGCATTAAAGCCCTAGAAACTTCCTGATTTTTTTGAACATTTCATTGGTCCTTGTTATCTCAGAAGTTAACTTCGTTAATTCTACCTTCCTAGTGTCATCATAAGTGTGAAGCCCAGTCGCCCACATGTCTTGCTTGCAAATTCTTGATCATTTACCTGCTTGGTTCCAGAAGCACGCATCTGATATCCATTTCTTTTCATATATGTTGTCATCGCACCACCAGCAATAGACTTCCCAACAGGCTGGGATCCAGCTGCGGCTTTTGCTCTGCAGAAGCGTTTCAACTCCCCAGGAATGTCACCACCATTTTCTGCGTAAGTACTGCCCGTGGCTTTCTTGAGCATTTTGCTGAGAATTTAATGAACTGCATTTTAGAACTCTATTTCTTCAGTAATTCAACATCTCAAATATATTTGCAAAACACTCAATTGACATTTCTAATATACAAGACATGTTGAGCATAGGTGACTGCTGTTTTAGGTGTGGCTGCACTCATCCCTGAAGACCTCATTTCAACTTCAGGCTTAATTTATAGGCACCTTAAGATGACGTGTCCGATCTTGGACTAAGCGTGGCTTACCTCATTGTTTCCTCACAGGGAGTTCTACACAGGCTGGCTGACTCATTGGGGAGAGAGACTGGCTCAAACGGATGCAAAAAGTACTGCAGTTGCTCTTGATGATATTTTACGACTCAATGCTTCTGTTGTACTTTATGTGAGTTCTTCACTCTGTTTCCCTTAACGTAAGGAAGGAATCTTGAACTGTATTTTTCAAATAAATCCAATTCATAAATCATGAGTTAATCTAAAGTGTCTTCGTTGAGCACTTTTGACCATGAATTTCATATAAACACTGGTCACATTTAACGATTTCATGGAATATCCAATTTTTTTTTGGTTCGGATGAAGATGGTTCATGGAGGAACAAATTTTGGGTTTTGGAGTGGAGCCAACACAGGGGCTGGACCCTCCGACTTTCAACCAGATATTACTTCGTACGATTATGTGAGCACTTGTGCAACCACCCACTTGTGGTGCCTATCCTTTGTGATGCATATACTCGGTCGTGAGCTAGGATACTTTTACCATTCTAGACACAGCCTTGTGTTGGGTGAGCTTCAAGTGCACGCATGCTTGAAGACTATTCTTGCATACATTCGTGACGTGAAGTTCATAATTGATAAATTGTCAAATAATTCATTTCTGTTACATTCTCTGTGTTTCTGATCTATTCCAATCGTTAACAGGAAATATGTAACTTCAAAGAAGTATTATTACGCTTTACATGATACTTATCTGTTCCGGAAAATTGACTAAGTTAATCTTTGATATTTCTAGGATGCCCCAATTGGAGAGGCTGGAGATGTAACTGGTAATAAGTATCAAGGTGGGCAATGTCTCTTGCAATTCTTACGGGTTTTCCAACATGTACAACTGTATGAAGTGTTTGAATTTATACATGTTATGTAACCGTTTAATTCAAACAGTATTCCTTATTTACTTACCGTTATTTGTCTTTGATCATATCAGCATGTAAAGAATTCACTCCAGCTAAATGAAATTTTCATGCTTATATCACGGTTTAAATGACTTTCATTTTTTGCTGTAGAGGAAAGTGTGGTCGTTTGGTCTCACTTGGCAACATGAAATTGGCAGAAATAAGGAAAGTGCTAAGTAAGTACGTAGGTCGAGAACTGCCCGATCCCCCTCCGCTTCCTCAGCGAACTGCATATGGGGAAGTAACAATGACAAAAATGGGGTCTCTTTTTGATGTTTTGGATGTCATTGGTAATCCTCCTGGCGGTGTCAAGTTGGAATGGCCCGTCCCAATGGAACATCTCAGACAAGTATACACTTGCAAACCTTTAGATTGCGAGCATTCGGCTTTCTCCAACAGTCTCAACGACTTAGTAATTTGATGTCCAAAAAAAGATTATGAATGAATTTCTACTTGCTGAACTTTCAACAGGCCTCGGGGTTTATTTTATATCGGGCGTGTCTTCCTTCCAGTGTACGACCAGGAAGCAAAATTTCTGTAGTGGAGGTAATATAGTTTATTTACATGATATCACAACATTATTATTACATATACATATCCTCATCTTTTCTTTCTATCAATGATATACAATGTAAGTCAACACTTCGATTTGCTGGACGGGTTGTGGGTGACAGGTATATGACAGAGCACAGGTATTTGTTGTAAGCGCTTCCAAGAATAGGATGTTTCTGGGCACACTAGAACGCTGGTCCAGCAACTCAATAATGTTGCCTACTGCAGCCGCTGTAGCTGATTTTCGGCTTGATATCCTGGTACTTGAAAATATGATTCGACCCTCTTTTAATGGTTTCGAATCGTTGAGTTGGGCACATTAATGAAGATGTTGGCAACAATCACATAAAATTGTGCACTCTAAAAGCAACTTTTCGTCAATGTCACTATAGCATCGTACCTGTGAAAGAAATTTCTTGCTGGTTAAAATTACTGTGATCTTATTATTGCCAAAGATTCGGCTTCTTAGATGATGAGATTATCGGTATTCTCTCACGGTGATCTTTTTCATCCATAATTTTGAATGGTTTGGCAGGTTGAGAATATGGGGCGTGTTAACTATGGACGGTATATGGGTGAAAACAAGGTCATTCTTGTCTAAATAAGCCTCTTAGGAAAATATTTTGGTTGCCTAGCTTTTTCAAGTCGTGTGTAGTAAAACGCTGAGGCATTTTTATCATCAACCCTAAATCAAATGCAGCAAAGTTTTTTAGATTTTGTTTTTATCAAAAGTCTGCCTGAGCTCACAAAGAAAACATGCTTCATTCTTGTCACGTTGGGTGGCTTCAGGGTATTTCAGAGGCTGTATTCCTTGATGATGATCCCATTCTTGGTTGGACTATACATACGATTGGATTAGAAAGTGTTTCAGAGCTTGGGCCCGCTTCCTTCACAACAACTGGCATTGCTAACAGTAATTTGGAGATAACCAAAATCAAGCCAACCATCGAACTCCTCTCGGATTGTGAGTGCAGTTAATTTGCGATACTGGGATTCATTCCGTTGTTTGAATTTAATACGGAGAACTGTGAGCCTTTTACTCTCGGTGCATTTTCCTCAGTCTTTTAGCGATGCGTTATTATTTCTGCAACAGTGATTCTTTGTTATAAATTATACGAATCTCTTGTGATGCGGCGTGTGTCAGCGGATCCTTTAAGCGGTCCTTTTTTCTACGAAGGTACCCTTAATGTAACACAGCCTAGTGATACATTCATGAGCTTTAATGGCTGGAACAAGGGAGTGGCCTTTGTCAATGGATTCAATCTCGGAAGATTTTGGCCTGTAAGCTTCACTTCTGTTTTAACTCAAACCTCGTAAAATGATTATACTTGTAGTGATAGTTGAAACCAGTAGGGTCATTGCATAGGTCCACTTGAATAGTGGAACTGGAATTTTCAGTCATTAAACCTGGTTAATTTTAAATTAATGTTTCATGGTCTTCAAAACACCATGAAAAGAACAATGGTAATTAGTTTTTTGTTAGAAGCGTCATTTGCATTTGTCATCTTATAATTGTTGTAGTTGCTATTCCTCGCAATTACAGAGTGCGGGCCCACAGTGTACATTGTACGTCCCCAGTCCTCTTCTTCGACGTGGAGAAAATAAATTGGTGAGCATCATTTATACCAATATTTTCTTTTTCTAAAAGAATTTCATTCAAAATAAACATCGGTGATTTGATTCTTATCCTGGTTGTTCGCATATGTCGCCAGATCATTTTGGAACTTGAGGATTCCCGACCAGTACAGACTGTGGAGTTCAAGGACAGAGTCGACTTTACTTGTGGGAGTTACTAGTCCGATATCTTGTATTAAAAATCATGGTTTTCCAACAAGATTACACTAGCTTATATCTGTAATTTCAATTTGTATGTGAAGATAAAATCTTCCTTGAAGCAACCCTCTTTACGTAAAATTGGATATATTATCAACAGACCACAAATTGAAGAATATTCTTTAAGTTTTGCTGCTTCTCTTTCATTATTGATGTTTCCAGTAATTAGAATGGGAAACTTCAAGACTCGTTTTTTAATTGGATTTTGTCGATGTTTGCAAGTTCGCAACAGTCTACCACCCTAGTCTGATTTGTATCTTAGCCACTTTCTTTTCAGAACATTGAAATTCTTGAAGCGATCCTGCGTATTCGTCATATTCGTCAGACAAAACTGAAAATATAGAGAAATGAGGCCGTCACCATCACCAACGGCGTCCATTCTCCGCAAGTGACGCCATTGTTAATAATCACGATGAGAAAAGTCGCCGAGAACTAGTTAATGTAGAGGTCATCCACCATAATTAACATAGAGAATAGAAAATTTCAAGCGGCACAGTTTATTTATTTTTAAAACATATGTAGGTGTACTCCTTACTAATTAAAGAAATAGGTTACATATTATAGCATAGTTGAGGCATATACTTGCATTGGCTACACTTATGTTGGGAGATGTGTAGCTCAATCTTGAGAGATCTTGTATTTTGCAATTTTTTTTTAAAAAAATAAAAATAAATTTCTATTCTTAACTTTTTGAATTGAATTTTATGAAGGAATTTACAATCATTTTGAAGACTTTTATGTATTGTTTCTAGTATTTTTTTCTAATATTCTTCTCATTATTTATTATCCTATGCTACAATAAGAATATTGTAATCATTTAGTCAAGTTTCTTATTTATAAATCTTAGTATTATTTTGTTTCTATATGGTCCAAAATCAAGCACTTACCATTAAAGGCCATTGATCTTTATGTCTTTGAAGTTGGTCAAATCAACTCCAAATATTACTTGATAGAGCATTAGCATTGGCTTTAGAAGTTGTCTTGGCCTTGAGTTTAGCGTGCTTAGATAATACAAGATAATTGCATTCAATTCCCTAATAATCAATAAATCAAACTAAATAAATTAACTAAATCAAACTTGATATTTTTTTAGATTTAATTAACTTCGAAATGATTTTTTAATTATATTTTATTTTATTTTGGTAGAATCCCAAGCTATTTGTAATTTGAATAGGAATTAAAGAGATGTGGTTTTGTGGAAGATTTTTGGCACTTTTTCTATTATATTCACCCAGAATACAAATTTTGTTTCAAATAAAGTTATAGGACTAAACTCTAGTTTGTCAACAATTCAAAGTATATAAAAGTGTTATATTTTTATGGTTAGGACCCTTACTAAGGTATAATCTTGTGTTTGTGCATGAACCATACTTACGCCATAAGTATTTAATTTAACAAAGACCATCTTTGTGCAAATTAATCTCTTTTTTATCTAATAATAATGTCATTCAAATAAAGACTTGCTTATTCCAAATGGATTAATTGAATATGCAATGAAAATTAATTAGAAACTTTGTTGAGGTCTTTAGTTATAAGTTGTTAAGCTTCATATACTCTTTTCAAAACATAATTATTACTAAATATTTGAACAATAATTTGAATGTCTAATGTTCATCGAGAGAAGATCTATTTGTCATACCCTTAATTCTACTAGTATACAATTTTATCAAGTTTTTGTAGGAAACAGATAATTATCCCTTCGACAAGGATTAAGCAAAAAAAGCATAAGGTGATATTTCTATTGTAGCTTATAAAACTATCCAACTTGGTCGACCATAGATTTTCACAGAGAAAGCCTTGTTTGACTCTAACGTGGTGTCTAATTATCAAACTGAGCCTTCGAAGTACCAGTAGTGGTCGCAGCCAACACTTAATTGCTAGACTCGAGAGGAAACCGCAGCTCACAAACAAGGAGAAGTAAACGAAGTGATTGGAAATGTGAGAAACAGGAAGCAGCTATGCCAACAGATATATCCTTAGTAGTTTTAGACCAGGCAACTAATAGCATTATTACCACATGCAATACACGGCAAAATTGATAAATCAAGTCCAGAAGTCCTCTACATTGGGCTACAAACTGTACATAGAAATGAACTACATAGGAAGCTGCAGCTAGTGAATTTGGCAATAGTAGGGTGACGGCAATGAAGCCAGGAGTCATGCTCAACATGATGTGAAATATAAATTTAGACCATGCTTTGGATCTATTGAATTATCTAGATGCAGCAACCAACACCTTTCCCACAAAATATTGATGCAAGATGATCGATTAATAGTAGCTTCTGCAGCAGATATCTATGAGGAACATGATAGAAACTTATGAAAGGAGCTTAGCATGTTATTGCATCATGTAACTACAGGTAGAACTGCTTTCAATTGATGACATATTCCTCTGTGAAGCCTTCACCGCTACCTGACTACCTAACCGTGAATGGGTGCTAGCAATGGCTGCACCGTCCAAGATCAAGAATCACCTAAATCAAAATTGGTGGTTTTCTACCTCCCAGACTCGAGCCTGACCTACACTTCATTGCACTTGTCATAGATTTAAAACGATCGTACTTCATGCATCAGCCACCAATAGTGACCCTCCAAGAGTGATCTGAACAAGGAAAAACAGTAAAACACTTGTTCAGACTTTTTCAGAACAAGAGTCAGAGTAAAGAGTCAGACACTGGTACGTTTCCCAACTTTGAAATCAAAGGAACACTTCGAATGTACTGATTCCACAGCAAAAACCCTGAAAAAACCTGCACGTAAATCACTACTTCAGTTCTAGACTTCACTGTAAGAACTGAAAAGTCACCTTTTCTCCAAGCTTGAAAGTAGGCATGCCCCTGTATGGACATCCGGCACAACGAAATGCATCTCCTAGTCCACACTGCGACCATTAGTAAGATGTTAGGCCGAATTCACTATTTCTACACTCAATGCTTGACATTTTGTGTAAGATGATTTAGTCAGCAAAAATCCTCATAATGCACAACATGATAGCATAGATACACGACCTGTCTACATCTAAGAATATTACTCAAGGTCACAGTAGCAAATAAGATACTGTGAAACATCAAAATACATAAACTTTGTGCTAATCAGGTTAATTACTCACACTGCCACAGGAAGACGTCGGGTTGTTAATTTGAGCGGTTGTAAGTTTAGTCTCCTGCTCCTTCTCTTCAAGTTCAGCACGACCGCATGTGCAGTTTTTGCATGCTTTCTTGGTTGGAGCACAACTCTCCGCTGCTGTAACATCCACAATAAATTATTCGTTCATGCACTGGATCAGGGCTCATTTTCTTTATGGATCGACCACAAAGAACAGGAGTGACGTGAACGGTGTAAGGGAGGAAGCATCAACATGGAGCCGTGTTCCAACGAGTATAATTAATATAGACTTATACACTTACCGGGTAGAACAGGTGCCTTCAAGTCCTCCTCTGTAAGGAGATCATCCTCGTCAATGAGTTCCTCCTCGTCATTCTTAAAATCACTAGAGAGGTCCACTTTCACTGCTGGTTTGCTATTTAGCGGAAAATCGTCCACTGTCTCTCCAGCAGTAAGCTTCACAGGTTGGTAATTACCACTTGTCCTGAAATTGCCTGTTCAGGTAGGACAACCTGAACTGTTCAGCCTCATTCACATTCACAAGACCTCGAAATCGATGTCAAATATCTTCTCAGCGAGCACCTCGTCATGCACGACATATAACTTGCTAACAGAGTCTAAACAGACCCCAAAAGAAACAAAGAACGAAGTTATGTTGCCACGTGAATCTAGGACGCAGACACTATGAAACGTACTATGACTACAAAAATGTCCGTTAGGAATTGGAAGGCGTTATTAGTAAGTGAGTTTTAAATATGATAATAAGACAACGCTCCCATATAAGACAAAACTTCCGCAGACACATACAATGAAGTCAATGATACAGACACTTCACTGTAACATGAACCATAACCGAGCAGTCGTAAAATTCAGTATATGAAGAGCTTACCGTCTAGACAAAATAGTGGATAAGAAGAATACAGAACAATGAAGTGAGCAGTGGTTTACCGTTTTGATTGGAGACCTTCTTTCTGATCTGAAACACGGATCCGGTGTCCCAGGAAGGCTTACTAGATTTCACCTAGAGGCCAAATAAATTTGCAAATAGTGAGCATCAAAGAAGAAACACACGATAATGCACGATAGAAGAGTTTACTGCATCTCAAAAACTGCATCTTGCAGCAGGACTACCATATGAATCCAAAAGCATCTTGAACCTCATATGTACCCAGAATTATAAACTTCAGAAAAAAGAACATGTCACAAAATGTACAATGTAACGCACAAGATATTAACAACACTACAACTACATATTCGACTCGATTCTGATGTAAAATGGATAGCATGAAGATTGGTTTCTTACCGCGACCACATTCAAAGCAACAGAACTCGTCGTACATGCTTTAGCAATCTCCACTCCGACTACAGAGTCGACAACTTCAAGATTCACGAAGCCAGCAAGTAGCAAATTCCGCTCCAATTGAGCTTTTGTTTGAGCACTAGAACACTGCAAGCTACATCTTTAGTTACATAACATTGAATGTCAATTTTGAAGAAGGGTATGAATGAATTTTATACCACCAAATTTTCATACGAGTGCTTTCAATGATAATCCTTGCTTTGCTGTGAAACAATGTCTGGTTGATATGATTCTTCAGTTCCCTCCTTCAGAACATCTAGACATGTAAGATACCTTCTGTTCTTGAGCTTCTGCAAGAAGAGGCTCTTGAACGATGAGATCGCCACCAGACACAAGAACACGGGCAACCTCCGCCAAGTAGGCTGGGGAATGAAGACCTGGAGTTTGCACTAACGATACCACTGCACCCATTGATGATGTCCCGGCTTCAAGTTTGAAGCCTTGATAGACCAAAGACAAACCAAAAATTAATCAATAAATTACTCATTTGTGAGCCACATTATTCTCTTCTAATGGGTGATGTTTCTAGTCAATTTCGGTGTTGTGTAAAATGCTTCAAGCTGGCTAGTCATAGAGGTGGTGCTTAACGTTCCCTGACCAAGCTTTTTGCCTCGTACCAATGATCTAATTGCTCCACTACAAAACCATCACAGTTCTTGCATTATGCACAACGAGGTAAGAGTGGCCTTGAAACTTTACAAACAGCGCCATGGTTAGAAAAAAGCTTACTAGATTCTAGAATGTTCTTCGCAACTTGTAAAGAAGCCCCGCCAGACAATTTATCCTCATAATTCTTGATTGCCCATTGTTCGACCGAGTCCGGGAGTGCTTGCATATCAGTAGCCAAAAGAACTCCGACGTTGTTGGCCATCTCTCACAGTTGACCTAGGCAGTGGCTTCAACCTTCTCAAAAAGGTAGCGTACAGCGATTGATGAAGAAGTTACCTGAAAACAGAAATGAAGTTCAATCAAATACTGACCACAACTAAATGCACCTCGGATTGCTTTTTATTACATCCGGATAATGAAATCATGTACTATCCATGCATTTCACCAAAAAATAGCGATGAATGGTAACAAAGGATTCGGAACAAGAAATAACATTACAAAAAGCTGAACATTTCTCGGTGCTAACAACCCTTCACAGCTACCACCGGTAATGCAATCCAAACCAAGGAAATCGTCTGGATAAGCTATCAAAGTGGAGAACAAACACAATGAGAATAAGTGAGCGTAAGGACAACTACATGAGAAACAAATTGTAAGTCGCTTCCTCGGGTCTGTCCTTGAAGGTGATCATAACCAAGGACTTAATCCAGTATTCTCTACACTGGTGGAGCTCACATTCTACAGAACCGAATTGGGAGATACAGGTGCATTTGCTTGTGAAAAAACTCCACATAGAAAGATACAGATGAATTACAGGAGAAACCTCAGGTAAGTATTGAAGACCGGCTCTCATAATAGCACGCACATAATCCATTCTACACTAAATCTACGCACCGATCGAGATAAACTCCATGTAAAGATTACAGCTCTCGCTCTCTCTCTCTCTCTCTCTCTCTCTCTCTCTCAAAAAGCTGATTTGCCCAAGAGGAGCAAACTGGTACGAATGCAGATAAACATAGTGTGCCTGTGACTCTACACTGAGGCAGTAAATCCTCAGGTTTTAATCGCGTACCAACCACATACTTCTCTGTAAATTATAGGTTAATACGGATAGACCCGTAACGCGACAAACAGGAGGATAAATCTCCGAGGGTTTGTTGCCCAATGAGAGGTGAATATTGTAAGTCTCTGTTTATGAGAACAAGCTAGCCTCCGTTTGTGAACACACTCGTTGTGAAATAAAGCATACCGAGCGTGCTCATATACAGAGGCTAACCCACATTCACACTGAAACCAAAGAGCAGAGAGAATGAAATACCATCATCACGCAGACTGGATAGGCAGGACGGGAGTGAAAGCACTAGCGGGATTTAGAGAACACATAAACTCGTCGACTCCCCCTCACCCAATCTCTCGCACACTTAAGTTTATCAAATGACACCCACTACACGACCCATGTTGGAAAAATGGTGAAAAGGACAGATATCCGAATGTCGACAGAAGAACGTTTCGTCTGCTGAACCAAGATAAAACCCACGAGAACGACACGAAGCGACGCCCACACGTGCATCACCAACACACAACTCGGCGCTTACCCTCCACGATGCAAAACAAACCCAAACCAATGCACCCCAAAATATCCCAGTCCGGGAAACCGTCCGTTCTTTCGCCAGGTCTTCTTGCTATTATCACAAAACTCCCTCTCCTGTCTGCCTCTCCTCAGCGTACCGCTGGCTCGCTTTCTCTGTCTCTCCCTCTCTCTCTCTCGCTCTCTCTCACTCTCCGCGTCTCTACGACATAAGTAGGCTACGCAACAATCTCAGGAACCAGCAGCCTTTGATTTCCCTGCCACGTTTGGCACTACTCGTTCATCCCAAATGTGACCCAGAGAAACCGTGAAACTACAATTAGCGCCAAAAGGCATAGAAACATAATGGACAACATCTCGTATTCTGACTTACTGACTGCCAAAAAGCGTGCACCGTAGGCTAAGGGCAGGAGGAGAAAGAGGCTGTGAACTTTGCAAGAAGTCTCCGGTACGCCAAACGAAGCGCCGTAAAAAAGTCCTAGAAGGAGTGATTGTGAAGGGGATTTTACCTGCGGAACATCGAAGGGGACGCAGCAGCACAGATGGGAAGACGCGAAGAGGGCGATCCCAAGCAAGGCTGCAGCAAGTTGGCAACGGGGAATGTGGGACGACCGAGCCTCCTCCCGCGTATAAGAGCTGGCCCGCGCTCTGCCGCCATCTGCAGTGCTCAGACGTTCTCAGCGGCGTTTAGTGGCAGCTTTTCTCACGTTCCTAAGCCCCTGCCGCCCATGCTGGCCTTCCCTGCAACGCTCTGAACCTCTTTCTCGCTCTCTCTCTGCTTTTCCCCCTTCTCAAATTTCGGCGTCTGTGATTACGAGCACATCCTCACCCATCTCGCTCTCTCTCCCTCCCTCACAACACACGCTTTTTCTCATGGCCCACAATTTCATCCCGCCGTAAAGGCTCTAGCCCATTGATCACAACGCAGATTCAGTCTGTGGGGCCATTCGAAGCAGCGGATTTCGTCTCAGCTTGTCCTACGCAGTTCACCTCTGTCAAAAAGACCTATAAACAGAAACAAATGCTAAAGTAAGCATAACGCATGGAAGTTCTCGTGCTTCTGCTTCTTCTTCTTCGTCAGCAACTAGCACTTAGTGTTTTCTTTTTCTTTTAAATTTTTTGTGTTTTTCCTTTCCACCCACATCTGTAGGTATATGAGTCAAAACGTGAACCTGCTCTACGGTTCTCAACACTAGCGGAACATCTGCACACACACACACACACAGATGGGACAATGCAGCGGTGATTCCGTGTGCTTGGCGGAGGTTCCAGGGCGTGTCTGGACGGGAAGAAGGTGCAAGCCATGCATGGTTGTGTGGTGTTTTGTGTGGTGTTGTGTTTGGGAATTTGCGTGCGCAATGCTGAGATTAGCGTGTCAGGTGAATTAGTATGTAAAATAGTCTAAGTGCTTTTATGTTGTTATTTTCAGGGGTGTAGTTTAATGAGGTCGTGATTCATGTTGTGCAGTAACCGCAATTTTGTGGCAAGTTAGTATTGGTACTTTCGACTTTTCAACACTATATTGCTGGAACATGGACAGTAAGGATTTCATTTTCTGTGTTTTTGTTGTGTTGAGATGATTTTTATGTTTTTAGTTTGTTGTAATTTGTGAAGATGGAACGGCACTATTGCTGATAATTTTATTGGGTTTAAGGATAGGTCCATCCTATTCATTTAGTGACGATCTCATTTGTGTTTTCCTATGTACCTACGTTGGAAGTAATTGCGTACTATATTATTCAGAAAATAGATAATAATGGTTTTGTTTCCATTATTTTTTTTGAGCTGCAAAGCTTCTTTTAATTGTCAGCCTAAAATTTGAATTATTTTTTTAACCTCAACACATAAAATTTCAATAATAATTTCATAATATATTGATACAGTGAGTTTCATAATATCTATGTATATATATATATATATATATATATATTAATGATACTTGCATTTATAAAAAAAACAAGCTTTGTACTTTCATGTACTTTAGAATCTATTATTGGGAGTGTATCATGTAGTAGTAAATTAAGGTATTTTTATCAAGAACTGAAATTAGTTGTATGTTGATTTTTTTGATTTTTTTTAAGGTAACAGATCTTCTGCATTGTAGTCATAAGTCTTAGATTAATTGTTTATTAAAAAAGTAAACTAAATGTCAACGTGTTACTTATTGTATTTTAAATTGTATTAAAAAAAATCCAATGCCTACATTTATATGTAATTTTTATCATTAAATAACTTGATATACAATAATCAACATATCTAAGTATATTTTCTTAGAACCTTTTATACTCTTTAAAAATACTCTATAGTCTTCTAAAACATTATAATAGATGTTTTACCTTCTTGGCTTTCAACAAAGTCTCACACACACTAATCAAGTTTTTGTGGAGACTTTGATTTAGAAATTAATTATTTAACTTACAAATTATATAAATTTTCCTTAATACATCTTTTACAAGAAAAAAAAATATTTTTTTAGAAAATATAGAATATTCATGTCATACAAAAAAACATATGACTAGTAATTTATATTATTATTTAGTTATAGTGATCCAATGTCATTTTTTTATATAATTTGTATATATTATAAAAAATATAAAAGAGAAGATAAACTAATTTTTAAAAATCAAAACTTTAAATTTCTATAATTATTTTATATTCATGAAAAACCATTTTTTTTCAAATCATCGCAAAAATACATATATTCCACAAATAATCAATAGTTTATAATTATTATTATTATTATTTTACAAATTTTAATTGTAATAGATATAAGTTTATAACTATTACAATTATATAAGTTTTATCTTTGTTAAACATAACAAATTTAATATCAAATTTCAACAATAAGTTATTTAATAATAGAAATTCAAATTATATTTACAAAAACCTATTTAGTGAACCAACTTTATTTTAGATCCTGTAATTTTAAATACAAAAAGATGTACAACCAAAAGAAATATTTAAAATTTTAAAAACATTTAATATATATATATATATATATATATATATATAGATATGAAGCAACTTGGCATTAATTAATAAATTTTGTATAATTCAACAAATAAATTTTATTTATTTTTATTTTTTATTATTTTAAGAATAATTTAAAAATTCTAATTAGAATATAGATTTAATTAATAATTGGTTATTTTAAATATTATAATATTGTATAAGAATTTTTTTATTATAATTATTTGATTCTTAGATGTAAAATCAATAAATATTTTTATATTAGACAATATAACTATCAATTTTTAAAATTCTATTCAAAAAGTTATAATGTCATATTTCAATATTTTCATAATTGTTTTAGTAATACCTTTGATTTTTGAAAAACTAGACTTAAAAGTAGACAAATTGCAGGTAAAATTAATACAATTAATTATTTTTACATAACAATACTTATAAGTTTTGCACTTGTACTATGTAAACTATAAATTATTATTCAACATTATCTTAAAAAGTGTTATAATTTTTAAAAAATTAAAATAAATACGTATTAATAAAAAAATGATATACATATATATATATATATATATATATATATATAAATTAAGATTTGTACAACTAGATCCTTATAACTAGATGAAATAATTAATGTTTACTTTGAATTTATAATAAATTTTAAATAAAATTATTAACAAGCTAATGTATTTTTGAGTTTAAAAATTTTACTTTAAATAATTTTATAAGATTTGATCTTTATGTATATTTATATATATATGTATCTATAAACTAATTTTTGTTCCAAAATTCTAATAAAAATTATCCAAATCACAAGAATTACATAACTTCCTGCAAATAGGACATTTTAGAGAATAAATACCCTGGAGATAGTTATGAGAAATGTTTATTAGCTTCAATATTAAAATAATCCAAAAAAATATATGTAGTTAGTAATATTTCTTGACAAGCAAACTATATGGCATGAACTTATTCAATTGTTTTTTATTCCAAAATAGATGTTTCATCTATTTTAATAGATTTTATTCCATAATTTTTTTGATAAAAAAAACAAATCTACAAATTATTTAGTATAATGATATTTACAATATACAGTCAATTATTATTAGGACTATAATATTATATATATATATATATATATATGTATATAATTTTTGTAACTTAACAATACATTCTTCTATTAAAATACTACAATGTCATATATGTAAATATGTACTTTTTTATTTTTTCAATCATTCGGTTAATAATCTTTGAACAAAAGTTTTATCATTGCTTCAAGAGATGTAGAAGATACAACTAGATGAAAATTTAAATCTTTCAAAAATCAAAAAAGTAACACAGAAATACAGCATTATGCAAACAAGTGATGACCACATCCTATAGAACCACATATCACATACAGAAAAAAAGGAATAAAACAATAAAAATCAATTGTGAAACATCTCAACTAATGAAGACATTCGTTATCATTTCTCCTCAAGGCAGTTACTCATCTCATCATAACAACTATAAATAAATAAAAAACTTTATAAAGCTAAATTATACTTTGAATCTCATTCTGCTACATTGGGAAGTCATTTTTGTGGATTAGTGCACAGACAACCCATCAATCATAAATAAGTAACCCTCTATTTGATTCCAATTTTTCGTTAAAAAGAAAGTTTCAAAAGTTTTGAAAAGTAATAAAGGAAGAAGAAAATGCCAGAATTGCATGCAAGGTTTCACATGATGAAGAGTCATGAGGCTTGGAGTGGCAGGCAGCTTTACAACCAAATGAAGATGGCCCATCAGCATCATCACCTTCACCAAGCCAAGCTCATCTGGATGGATGAAGTTACAGATATATATATATATATATATATGGATGAAAAACAGATAGAAGAGGAGCTTGGATTAAAATTGTATTGGCCCATGCGCATTGCTCCAGGCTTCTTCATCCCTATCTTATCTCCTGGTGACATTCTACTGGTACAACTGGACTGGATCCTTTTTGCCAGCTAGGACTTGACCCTACCTCTTTGCCACATCACCTCCACTTCGGAGTTCCCATTGTCCAGCTCAGCAGCAGCCGTCGGAGGGTCAGCTGTCATGGAGGGAAGCCTTTTCGATGGCCGCGGGAAAAAAGGATCAGGAGCAGCTATCATGACGTCATCGCTTTTATGGGAATTCTTTTAATAAAATGGCAGCGACGTTCAATGGATTTTGGTGCGGGGTGTCCACGTCAATCGCGGGAAGAAGGCGGAGGTGGCTGGGGGTGACAGCGTGGCAGAAGGATTCCACATTGGGGCTGAATCTGAACGGGCGGTAGCGATTGGTCAACGATCTGAGACTGTCGTTGGAAAGCCTGGTCGGTAGCCCATCGATTGGGAAGGTCTATTAAAAAATTCCTATGCAGCTACGTAAGGCAGCATGCTGTTATCTTGTATGGAATCTGATTACTGCTGTCCATTCTGCCACATTCGTTGCTTCTTTACTAGGATCCACAAGGTATGGATCCCTTTTAATGCTTCCAGGAATTAGACTTGCCCATGAGTGCCCTTCCTCTCAATGTTGTCTTCAAAACCCACCCCAATTCCAGGCTTCTCCATGGTGAAACTGTTAATGTCTAAAGGCAGGAAGTTAGTCATGGTTCTATAATACTAAAAGGTAAAGTTTATACAGTATTAGGACACTTCTTGCCTCCCTAGAAGTAGGACTACTGTACAAATACCCTATTAGTCCACATTATAGTGCCACTCAATGCTGCTACAACCACAGAACAACTTTTTATTTCTTTATTTATTTGTTTGTTACATGAGTTACTGAGTAGAAGATAAAGTCTAGACAGAAGTCATCCATGAGTTGGGCACAGTGCAGCACATGCACTCAGCAGGCCTTTCTCATTGCTACCACACGCTTTTTGTTGCTGCCACACTCTTCTAGAATGCAGTTGCTTGAAAAGAGCTCAGCTCTGGTAGCTGCTGCTGGAGGATCTGGCAAAGAATGACCCTGGCTGGCAAGTAACTTGTGAGTGGTGGTTAGCCTGGGGATAATACAGTGCCTACAGTTTAAAAAAAAATCATTGCTTATGCTCACATGTATCTTATGTTAATGGAAAGCAGCTTATATTGTACATGTGTGTCACAAGGATGTGCAGGTGGTGTCCAGCTTCAGCAAAGGACTGTTAAAACATGCATGTGAAGGATTCCATTGTGTTATGTTGATGGGGTCAACTAAGCAAGTTGTAGCCTGGATTCCACATGCAGCATGCCTGATTTGAGGTGAGGCAGGTGTGAATAAGGTAGTTGGGTTTTGAAAGGACCACTGTGGAGATGGGAATCTAAGCATCTGGTTTCCTTTTTAAACATTGTCTGTTTCTTGTCCCATTTTTTGTTTTAGAGTCTCCCTGGGTCAGGGAAGTTTATATCCTCTTTCCTCTTCCTCTTCCCTCAGCCCCTTGCAATAAATGGCTGAGCAGATCAGACACCATTTGTCACTGCATGCATGGGCAGTGGTATCAAATGAGCACAGATTTTGAGGGCAAATGGCCAGCTCTGTGCATGCCAAGTGACACAGGGGAGACAGACAAAATATGTGGCCAAGGCCATTAGCCACACACACTCCTGGAGCTTCTGGAATCACCTGGAGAGTAATCTCTGAAGTCATAACTACATCACACCCATGCTCATCACCTCCCTCTCTCTCTTCTTTGTCCTTCACACTTTTTATCCACCTCCTGAAGGGCTTTACAAGATGCAAGATGGGTTTGTGCAGATCATCATCTGCCTCAGAGGGGCAAGAGAAAATAATGTGGTGAGCAGCCTCATGCCCACACTTGCAGCCTCTGGATATGTCAGGAA